CCTAACTTCAATAGAGAGGGAGGCTGGGTACTATCGCCTGTTTGGGATCCTGTAATTCATAAAGTTAAAACTAAACCCAAGCATACCACTGCAAGTATTCAAGACGCAGTAAGTTCATTCTGCGTAGATCGGACCAAAATTAATAATTAAAAAAGCTGAAGGTACTCCGGGTTAACTCTGACATCGGGACATCAATCACCTCAGTCCCCCGTGACCATGGTTGCTGCAAAGCCACCGAAACGTCGGGAATATAAAATAAGTTAATTAAACGCGATAAAATCCGTAAAAGTAGTTTTATTCAATTCTTGGTTACTTAAGATATTGAAGTAATTGCAAAAATTCTTAAAAGGTTACGTACTTTGACACTGAATTTTAATTTTATAAGAATAAGGGTGTCTAACGAGTAACGATTCATAGAAGTCTACACCTACCCTCGATTATGAATCAAAATGCAGATGTTTTATTACTCCTGAGGGCTAAAACGGAATGCTTCGTCTCCGATTCTCTACACTCACCACACAAAACTTAGGAGCATTAAGCTGCTATTTTACGCTGGTATCGGGATACCTTACCTTAATTCCCAAGGGGAGAAAGTGTCCCATCCCCGGTCAAGCCGACCCATCGTGCTACGACTGTAATATAGCTGCAGTATGGCTCTACCACGTATAAAATACCCATAGTTATTATTTTACCGTTACTAATATGGAAGTTAATTATTTAAAAAATATAACAATAAGAAATGTTTTTCTCGCCAGAAAGAATGAGGATCAGATATGAAAAGGGACACAATTCATTTATTTTTTGAAAATACATTCACAATATATTTTTTGGAAATATTTTTATGATGTTGTAAAGCCGTTGTTCAAAAGTGTACTCTTAATGTACAGTAATGATATTAATGCTAGTAATATTGCTTAGCTCGGATTGTCAGCTATATATCATTATGTCAAGATTATATAGGCGAAAAATAAGACTAAGCGAAATAAAAAAATAAGATTACTTTTAATTAATAATAGAGTAATAGTAATAAAACTAAATTTTGCCCTATTCCGCCACAATTTCGATGGCTTTTTTTAAGTTTTACTTTAGGCGTCATTCCTGAGAATTGTTTTCTTCTAACGCGGGGTGAAATTTTAACTTTAGCCTGACTCCCTAAATGACCTATGCCAGTCACACATAGCGAATCGCTATGTGTGACCGAGGCTTTACACGTGGTAGAGCAACGCTACAGTTCTCATTATTTATTTTTCATTACTTAATTACGTTTTTTTTATCTGTCTGTTTCTCTGTCAAAGTGTTCACTTAAAACTGAAACTACTTGTAAAAATGTGATGGGGTTTTCGTCAAAATTCAGAGAATTTTAACGTGGTAGAGCCACATACGTGGTACATCTACATTATAGTTGCAGGACGAACGGAACGGCTCGATCGGGGAAGGAACACGCTTGCTTAGAATGTCAGTTTAAAATAGCTACATTATGTTGTTGTGTTTCGCATAGAAAGCGAAGAGAACTGGATACCCTTTTACTGTTATTCAAAGAATCTAATTATCATAGATACTATTATATTTCATCTTAGTCCTCAGGGGTGAAAAAGCAACCGCATTTTGGTTCTCATTAGGAGATAGATGTGTGTTTTTCCATACTTCCTTCTTTCAAAACTAACTTTCATTTCCTTAGTCGATTTAAGAGTAAACTATACAGGCAACTAAGGGAAATAAGCTTAACAAATGAGAAACTATAACACCCATGTAATTAAATTACTCTGACTCTACCTCTATATTATACTAGATTTTTTTTATTAATTCTTATTCGTGCCTTTTTATTTTTTTTGATACCATTTTTATTTTTAAAACAAATGAATACAATAGATATGCACTCTAATGAAATATAAATTAGTTAACTTGGAATGGGCATAGAGTTCAAAGTCACAGTATTTGCAATTGCACGCAGTATAGGTCGCAGTAACAGTACCTATAAGGTAATCGATATTGTCTCTTCCAGAGCACCACAAATTCAACATAGATAATCAAGATGACTTTAATGCAACTTTTAATATTGCTGTAAGGACTATTTCTTATACTTACCTGAATAGTCACTGAATAAAACTGATTATACGGACTGTAAAGATTCTAAGCTTTAATTATTTTTGATTTCCAACATTTCTACAACCAATTATGACTTCGATATTGAAAATTATTAAAAATAAATTTAAATTAAAACTATAAAATCTGTCTCTTTACTCTATAATATGTTTAGCTGAAATATCAATATAAGATAAAAAATGATCAAGGCTATAATTTTGATGCATTATTATGCAGTATGTACCTACTTAATTTTATTTATAAAATAGCTGCCAATCTAAGCAGCAGTCTATACAAAAGACAAAATATATAATATAAAATACTGAAATAAAATATATAATACTGCAATAAAATGTTGAGCATTATTCAAATTATATTAAGTTATCTCTCTGCTTCGTAATAACTCTTACTCATAGTTAACATGTTGTGAAAGTCTGTTATTGGCTGTTTTTTTTTAAATATATATTTTGAAGATTGTTTGTTAAAAATGCTGTTAAGTAAAAAAGTCCAATAATGTCATATACGTCGTTGAGTCGTAACGTAGATCATGGCACTTGATCTGTAATTGAACCACAGCGTTGTTGGATCGTTTTTTTTTTGTTATAATTGGTTATTTTGATGTAATTACTATTTAAGATGGACAAAATTAAGAGTAACTTTACTAAACGAGCATGTGTATGTAGTTAGAACCTACATGGATGTGAAAGGAGGGAGGTGTCACTGCATACCCCTCTAGGTAACAGGCGTATATGTATAAACTTCTATGTTTATATTATGTTTGGCTTTAAGAAATCTTACATTTCGAATACTAATTTCGGAAAATATTGTCCTTATTTCGTGCAGTTTAAAACAATTGCAATTTTCATATAAAGCATCCTTTCAACATTTAAGTTCTCTTTGAATAATAGCCTCATGGGGACATGGACATCGTAAATACCCGATGTGTACGCTTTTTTATAAAATTGAAGTGACAAACAAATTTACCTCCTGATCGTCCACCTGATCGTAAGTGGTTATCAGTGGAGTAGCGTGCCTTAGAAGGGCCCTGTATCAAACCTTGTCGGGGGCCCCAAATGAAGGGTAAAGATTTTTCACAAAAGGAACAAAAACTCTCGCATTAATCAAAATAATTATATATTGATTATAAGTTATTACTTATAATTAATACTCCTAGGAACTAAGCTAGCCAAACAATTCAAACCAACATCCTGTCACATAGATGTCCTTAGAATTTTTGCTTACATTCGTTCGGGCCCTCTGTAGCCCGGGGGCCCCATGTCAATGATACTGCTGATACGCCGGTAGCTACGCCCCTGTGGTTACTGCAGTCCACGGACACCTGCAGCCAACTACAAACAGAGAACGCTGTGAGGCATTACACCTTAGTCACCTCTAAGTACGTTCTACGATGGAATGCTTCGCTGTAATTATATTGACTGTCTCTGTCTATACACTTTAGACCGAAACACATCATTTAAAGTAGGTAGGTAGTGTGGTGGCAGAAATGGGTAAAAGGGTTGTACCTACCCAGATGGACCTTTAGGCAGGAAAGGAGCCAACCATCTAGTCTTTAAACTTTTTTATATAGGATAGTGTGACAAACGAGCACATAGTTCACCTGATGGTAAGTGGTTGCTGTGACCAATAGACATCTACATCTATCTTAAATTACGAATCAAAATGCAGATGCGTCGTCACCCGCTAGGACTAAGATGGAATGCCTCGTTTCCAGTAAAAAGGGTCTCCGTTTCTCTACACTCACCATACGAAACACAGCAGTGTTGAGCTGCTATTTTACGTTGGTATTCTTTGACAGCGTGGTCCTTCCCCGGTCGAGTCGACCCATTCAAGTTACAACTATACTACTAATATAGCTGCAGCATGGCTCTACCACGTATGAGATCTTCTTCGCTTATGGATAATAATTAAATTTATAAGCGGTTATATATCTAAAACTTACTCTGTGATAATTTATGAGTTACCAAAACCTCATTTGCTAGTAGTTACAGTCAATTCCCACTGAAATTTCATCATCGTCAATCCAACTCGGTTTAATAAGTAATTCTTGCGCTGTGGGCCGTCCCTGAGCAGAGGCTGGCTGGTCCAGCGAGGTGCATTTTGTCTCATTTCTCGTCCCATCCCTTACCCGCGCGATCGGCGTGCGGTCTCTGAGGGAAACCTCGCACCGACCCTTCGTCGTCATAAACCGTGACCTCTATATCGTGTAGAGACGTTACCTTGTGGCTTTAAAAATAGAAACAAAATATATCTGGCCAGTTATGAATAAAAATATATCAATAAAGTGAGCTTTTTATGTTTGGAAAAATTATAGAGATGGAGAAAAAGTGGCGCCATCTGCAGCAGTCGCGTTGTCCCGCTCGTGAGGCGAGGGCGTGTCCCCAGGGCGCCTCCCACAGTCCGCGGGGACGGACGGGGGCGCCGCGAAGCTCTAGCACTCGGCGGCGCGCTCCCGCGACGCTTGTTAGTGTGCCGCAAATTCACAGCGGGATCGCCCGCACAACCGGGACTGCTATCCCAGTACGCATACGATAAGACAGAGCCGTCTATCGAATAGTTATACAATATTCTTTACAACACTAACAAAAAAAAAAACCCAACGATTATTTCAAAAGCTTAAACTGATTTTACTGTCTTTAACATAATATATTTTAAGTGTCCAATTTCTTTCTGTGATTAACGTCAATCGTAGTTTGGTTTGTTTATTTAAATAACATATATTTCGGAAAAATATCATATCATACAATTAAATTTCGCAATATAAAAGTGCGCGAAAATATTTGAAAGAAATTAGAAAGCGCGCAAATTTTTTCGCTCTTCGTAATTCTCCGGGGGTGTTCGTGCGCTCTCGGGCGCCTGATTCGGGGTGCCGTTCGTGATTCGCGATTCGGTCGGACGAGTTGAACGCGGCGGCGGGCGGGTACACGGGCTCGCCGTGGCCGCCGCTGGAACTCGACCCCGTGGGATGGGGACGAAAACTGTACCCTACGGGAGCGCCAAGGTCTTCAGGTAAGTCATATACAGTTTATCCAAAGAAATGGCAGCGATAAATGGCGTTAAACATATTGAAATATTCTTCTCGAATACTGGCAGTACGAAGGGATTGAAAAAAAAACTTGTATCTACTTATTAAAATTACTACCAATAGTGGGATCTTTCAATCTTTGAAAATGCTCTTAAAGAAATGCGAGTCGGACTATAATTAAATAATAGTTATTATAATAATACATAGTACCTACACATAACAAGTAAATATAATTTTAAAGTAGACAAATAAAAGTTTTATTTTTGTAATTCCCCTTTTAATAAATTCAATCAAAAATGGAATTTGAAAAATATGGACAGATCAAAAATAAAAGTTCAAATGATTTTAAAGATTTTCTTTAAACTTAAGTTGCATTAAACATGAGTGAGTACAGTAATGCGATAAAAGTGTTATTTAAATATTTTTATTGCAGATTTATATAAGTGATGTAACATATAAAATAAATTGTTATCCCTGGGACTTATTCTCAGGCGTGTTACGCCATTACAAAAATTTTGGAATAGCTGTATTAAAATTAAAAATATGTAAACATTATTTCTAATTTAATTCATTCAAAAGTTTTGCAAATTTTTTTATTAAGATTACTTTTATTAAGAAGTAAAACATATCACTTTATTGTCGCTAGTATTTGCTTGAAAGTATAAAATTAAGTTTAGTTTTAATATCTCCTTTTGCACCCGCTATTTGATCCTAATGCTGAACTGGCAATATTTACAATCTTTTCAGAATGCACCAAATGATGCGTTTCTTAAAAAGTAATATATATATTTTGGTATAATTTAATAAACTATTCTTTAATAAATTATTAGTAAATTATATCCAAGTACATTTGATATTTAGTAGTCTACTTTAAATAATATTTCCACCTCAGTACTGTATATAATTAAATAATAACATCATTATGACGTTACTCTATTCACCAATGACATCATTGTCTTCCGAATACCTTCTACTGGAAGCTTTCGACTGGGCTGAATAAATTTAATGTCGTATATTTATGTAATGTTCGTGCTATAAGCTAGAACGTTATGATGGATGCAGCACTGACTTAAAGACGGTTTGCAACTATATTTTGTTTTATCAAAAATACACTGAAATCAAACTAAAACAAATAAACTGCCAACATTGATATATGAGGCTCTACATAGAGTATTCTCTTTGTTGCCCGATTTTAAAAAAATACAGGAATTTTTCTCTCCTATTATCTTGTAATATTTTTTGGAAGACAAGTCATACAGACATTTCTTTAACAGTCACAGGTTCGAACAACAATCAAAGTTCGAACTCCAGAGAGTCGGAGCTAACATTTTAAAAAAGACCACTTTTAAATTTGGAATTGATTAAAACTAATTTTTGTTTGCTTGACAGAAAATCCTATTTTTTAATAATATCAGGGTGACTACTGTAGCCCATGAACACCTACTATCAACTTCAGACAAAAAAGTCTACGAATTCGTCGTCACCCCTAAGGATTTAGGAATGACTTATAGACTGTAATTGTATTGGCTCCCTCATACTTACAACTAGAACAATGTTAGATGCACAGCTGCTTGGTTAAATAAAAATGTAGCTAACCTATCCGAGTATACCGGCTGGCGTAGTGGCTTAGCAATGAGTTGCAACGCTTGGGGCCGCGGGTTCGAATCCCGAACGGAACGAGTATTTGTACGGCCTACAAATAATTGTTCCGGGTCTGGATGTTTGTCCTTGTGCAATATATGTTTGTAAACTGCCTCCACGATACAGGAGAAAATCCTAGTGTGGGGGTAACGTTTTAAAAAAATGTATGTAACTAGGCTGAACGGAACATCTATCATCTAGTAAAGCTAGGTATTCTTTGACTCATAAGTGTAACATAAAATGCAAGTATTTGTAGATAAGCAGAAGTGTGTACTTTATGATTGAATTTACGCTTGCGATTATTTCCGGAGCAATAACTTCACAAAAGTTATAATAAAGTAAGTATAATATTAGTACGTCCGTCTGGTGGAAATTCGATTATTTAATTGGTTCAAAAATATTTGTGTATATTCACTCTACTTCATCGGTTAAATACACATACGATCTCTTCTTCACATCTATGGTAAAGTACCTTTCAAATGATATAAGTTTCATTCCCTATAGGTTGTATGGTAGAGAACACTGAAGACTTTCCGACCGTCCGACGCTGTACATTTGTGTAACTAAAACTGTCTAAAAGAACAAAATGATAATACCGTACCACTTGCTTGTGTAGACTAGTCTGCTCGAGTTTCTATGTATAGCTGAATTCCTCAATTTTTTCTTAATATTATGGCTACCGATGGGCCTTTTACTGTTGATATTGTAATTTTATAAACTATATTATTCTAATATTGAAACATAAATATTAAATATATTTTATTTCATACCAAGAACGTTGGCTTTATCTGATAGTATTCCGAAGTTGCGCTTATTTTACACCCGGAATTCTAGGTTATATTAACAAGTAAATTGTTGGTAATCGTGTCTCATTGTGTCGTGATTGACCCGTATCTTTGACACGGAATCCTGGCTTATCTCCTAACTTTCTCACACGAAGGTTATATCGGGTGCAGGTTGATTAAGAAGGGCTAGAGCATAAATGCGCGTACACTTGGGGACACTATAAATTCATTTTCAACACAGTGGGCGTTGGCCTCTTTTGTTGGACGTTGGAAGCTTCCAGTCGCGGGTCAGGGTATTTTAGATTTACCATATACGAGATAATACGTGACGACTTGGTAAAATATGAAGTCTATGAATACAGGTGCTTTGTGGCATTCCTTGGCTATGTTCAGCAGTGGACTTGTGAAGGGCTAATGATGGTGAAGATGATGGTATGCGAGTTAAAGTCTTTCTGGTTTCTGAAATAATCGACTACGCCCGCAGGATGAAATTAGGTAATCGAATTTCTCGCGCTTTACACAATTATTAGCTTGTTCCTAATTAAATCTGTGTCAGGTGGGCTGATGTTCGGGCTGCACCACCAGGAGGCGGCGGGCGGGCTGCACGCGCAGCCCCGCGGCCCTGTCACCTCGCTGAAGGAAGAACCCCTCACGCGTGCCTGGATGACACCAGGCTCCCTAGTTGACAACACAAAGTGAGTATAAACAATATCATTTTCCATTTGTGAATATTAATAAGATGATTATTTTTTTATGCTTTTTTTAATTGATTGAAACATTTCTCCCCTAATGTAAAGTCGTTGAATTTAATTTGAATTTTAATGAAATATACTATATTACTAGTAAAGAAATGGTAAAGAAAAGTAAATCATTTCATTCTTCCGTTTATAAACCTTATTTTTCTTTTTCGTAATGAACCCGTAAGAGGCCTACGGTGGATTTGAGTCTTCTGGATTTACGATAGTAGCCACACTTGGTAGCCGATGGCAGTACCAGTCTTTACGCACGTTTGACGCCTCATCGTTTCTTTGTCTTACTGCATAAACAGTTATCTATACAAAGTTGCGAGATTTTTCTGATAGTACAGTACGTAGTAGATCCATGCTGCAGCTATATTAGTAGTATAGTTGTAGCACGAATTGGTCGGCTCGACCGGGGAAGGACCACGCTCTCACAGAATACCAGCGTAAAATGGCAGCTTGACACTGCTGTGTTTCGTATGGTTAGTGTAGAGAACCGGAGATCCATTTTACTGGAAAAGAGGCATTCCATCTTAGTCCACACGGGTGACGACGCATCTGCATTTTGATTCTTTATTGAGGATAAATGTAGATCTCTATGGGTCACAGCAACCACTTACCATCGGGTGGACGTGTGTACGTTTATTAACCTGTCCTATAAAAAATTATTCTTTCATATTCGCATCTTACGATAAACACGAGACGAAATGGGAGGCTACACAGTAGAAATTGAATTATTTATTACTATAGAAATTTAAATGAATGTTGGTTAAATCTACGTTAAAAGTAAATCGTATTAAAATACTCGTATTTTCTTCATTTTGTTATCTCCTACGTATCATGCAAGCGATTTAATTCGATTTGGTTGATAGGTAGGCATTGATTTTACTTAAGTAGAAGCAGTAGCGGTACTTAATATTTAATGAGTATTGAGTACCGCTCTCTGTATGTAAAGACTTACTGATTCCTACCAGATTTTGGATGGAAAGTGCACTGGATTAGATTATTTTTAACTATTTTAAACAAGTGTTTGACCACCTACTGACTCACTAACAGTAGGTGTTGATGTAGCTGAAGATGAAATTTGAATGTAGAGTTTCTGTAATCAGTTAAAATTGTATTGTATTTGATCATGAAAAAAATTTGTTATTGCTGGAATTAATAAAATGAAATAGAAATGGAAACTTTAATATTCAATAAATTCATTCTTATGTTAAATTTACCACTTAAGTTATGGCTATTAACGTCGGGAATTAATAAAAAAGAAGTTAATTAAACACGATAGAATCCGTAAAAAAGTTATATTCAATATTAATATTTCTATTAAAATATAAAATTTTACTTTTAGCATAAATTACCAACATAGTGATAACTATTTTCTCATATAATATTTCTTATTTTAGTTAATATCTTTTATAACTTTTGAAATAAAAATAAAACATTTGTTATTTTGCCTGTATATCTGAACGATTTATTTAAAAGACGGAAAATAATGATTTAGTGGATTAATTATTGACATTAATAGTCCTGTCCAAAATCCAATGATTAATTATGAATTTTCGTACCTAATATAAAACTTTCTTTTTCTCTTTATTTTTTCTTAAAAACCATTTCGATAAACTAAGAATTTTGCTAAATTTCACGTGAACAAAGGCCCAGACCCATGGTAATTATTTTTAGCCCGTACAAAATACTTGTTCCGAGCAGGGATCGAATCCAAAGTGCCGCAATTAAACGCTTAGTCACTGTGTCGCTGTATCGTTGAGGAAGTAAAAAGCCGCGGTTTGAACTTGTATTTAATATTATATATTATGCATACACCATACTCAATATTTAATAATGGAAATACTATTTAAAAATAAAATATTTTATTTGTTCAGCTCTGTTAAAACCAGTTTTATGTGGTAGAGCTATGCTGCAGCTATATTAGTAGTATAGTTGTAGCATGAATGGGTCGGCTCGGTACTGGGTATCTCTCACAGAATAAAATATTAACGCTGCTGTGTTTCGTATGATGAGTGTAAAGAACCGGAGACCCTTTTTACTGGAAACGAGGCATTCCATCTTAGTCTTCACGGGTGAAAACACATTTGTATTTTGATTTGTAATCGAGGATAGATGTAGATGTCTATGGGCCGCAGCAACCACTTACCATCTGGTGGCCTGTGTGTTCGTTTGTCACCCTTATCCTATTAAAATAAACCATTACTAGTCTAAAAGAGCAGCGCACTAAACAGATTTCTGGGAGCAAATTGCATTAAGTCCCACAAAACCGAACCGAAACGAATGGGTGCTCCATGGTAAATAACCAAACCAAATAAGTCTATGAGATTAAAGTTTCGCTAAATAGGGGAGACGCGTTTGATGTCAACAAGCTTCCGAAAGTGTGAAATCCCACGCGGAATATATACACATTCATAATAATTTACTGTTGCTTTTTGAGTTTGTTACGTAGAACTGAAATAAAACTAAAAGATAAATATAATAATAATTTAACTGTGTAGTGGCGATGTAAGAATATCCTCTAACCCATGTCGTCCCGTAAGTGTTGCAAGAGGCGACAAACGGAAACAAACCATGAGATAGATAGCAGCGTCTTTGTAATAACAATTAAAAATAAATAAATAAAAATATGGCATTATTTTCCATATTTGTCTATGAGGAATATATTATTGGGAAGGATTAGGTTCAGCGGTGAATGAATGGTCGGAAGTAGTATTGAGTGAATTAATATATGGTCAAGTTGAGATGGAATATTGAAGTAAAACACCATTTGGCAAGAAAAACTTATTAAATCTAATAAATTAATTGTACGCGTATGACTTTTCTCGCTATGTTATCAAATGTCACTTTTTAACACATTCGCAATGGAGCTTTCGTCGTAAAGCCAACTTATCGATACCGCACAATAGGTTCATTACACCGCATAGGATGGTGTCCAATCAGGGGCGAGTTTGCAGGCGATAATGAAGCCAACCGTAACAAGTGTATTCATAAGCGGTAAGGGCGTGATAAATCATAGCGCGGTTGGGGCCGGTTGCGTCGCTTCTGACTGTATTCGTATAACGAACAAGTGTAACTAGAAAATTCGATTTCATCGATTGTTGCGCTTTTGGTTATATAATTGAATGGATTTGTTGTGTAATCTTTTAGTGGTATGGTCGATGGTATGAAAAAATAACCAACAATCAAAAACCCATCCAACAGCCAACCAACCAAACCAACCAACACAAAACCTCTTAGGAATGAGCGGATACCTGTGGGACAATTACTCGTATTTTGCTTTTTTCTTTACTTAAAAACAAAATTAAAATTAATAGAATTTTCTTGACGGTTAGCAATCCTATACTGTGTAATTCTTTTACACGCCAGGCATCACCACTTTATGGAGGTCTTAATTTAGACCAATATGACCAGAGACCTTAAAGAATAGATGCCTACAAATCCTTGTCTGAGTTTTAGGTGTAAACGGACGGCATTGCCCATATACCATTAGCAAATAAAAAATGCTGTTGAAATTAAATTACGCAGTTTGAAAATTATTATGTGCTGATGATTAATATTATATGAACTTATACTAAGTATTTAAATTGAATGAATATAAGGAAATTCCAACAGTATATACTAAGGTTTACTGTCAAAGAATGCTTTCAGTATTATGTCTGCCTTTTGTTCCTCTAAATGATCTAAGGTTCAATAAAGAATAAATAAAAAATGCATAAAATACATACTAGACTGGCAAATATAAATATATTTTATTATCATTAATTATATTTATTTTAAACATCTTGTGAAATTTACCCATATTTATTATACCTCAAAATGTTGTGTTTGTTTATGCAATAGACCTCTTTCTAATAATTCAAGATTAAAGGAAAATATGTTTTAACAGAAGGCAATAAAGTTTTGAATTATGTTCATAGCTAGAGAGCAGGCGGATTGTTTGTTGTAAGCCCTCCTAACATCTGTTGCGTTTTTATTAACCATAGTTTGCTTTGTCAAATGTTTATTCTATTGACACGTAAGTCTTTATTGAAAGATATAGTATTGAAAATATGTTGTTTTGCGAAATAAGCTTTGTGGTTACTCAAAACAAATGAAGCTACAGAGGAAAACAAACCAAAAGATGGACAGGGCAGCAACTTCGCCTACACAAGAACAAAAAAACTGTGGTTGCCAATCAGCTCGCCGTTATCTACCATAGTTACCAAGAAACTATGGCAAATATCCAACTATTCACGTAATAGTATAGTAGAATATGAAGAAATCTATAGCGAAGGTCTATTTCTCTTCTATTTTCAGCAGTGGACTTGTGAGTGGCTGTAAAGTTAAAAAAATATAGTCAGCTCTCAGAGACTTATATTTGCGCCATTTACTCAGTTCTGACACCTCTGATGCTACTACAGCTTTAACTTTTAAACCCCTGAGATGACGCATAGCGTCGACCACTTGGGTTTTGTCTCTCTTCGAAAGGACCAAAGTCAATCCATCAGGTCTTCTGTTATCGTCTCTTAAATTTTCACAAGGCTATAAAACCCAGGGAACATTTATAACTCTTAGTATAAATCTCATAAAAGAAATAAAAAGATAAATGTCAAGTAAATTGTGTTGAATAACGGTAGTTTCAGAAAAATAAAAACATCACGTTTCAAATGTAGATAGCAAAACGAAAACATTTAGTTACAAGTGCTTTTTGCATTTTTATTATTCTCTATATTTGCAAAATAAAATGTTAAAAGAGGATAATATTACATAGTAAACACTTAGCAAACATAGTATATTATATATCAATGTTGTTTTAATATGTACCATAATAGGCTATTATATAAGTAACTTTCTTAATTAAAAAACCTTTTGTACAAATGTTTTGAAATGACAAATGCCCGCAAATGACCGTCCTTCGGCGATGACAGGCGCATTTATAAAGTCGGCTTTAAATCACCGTCACACCGCGCCCTAGACTTATTAGATGTACCATGTTTGTGGGATTACGTGCACCCGACATCGGTAATGATACGTATTCATTATGCTTATTTACATTTTTTTAAATTTTTTAAACAGAAAACTGAGAAAATGCTTATAAATCCAATATGTCAGCACATTTTTTAAAATGTTAAAGTTATAGAAAACTTATTAGTTACATTTTATATTCAAAATAAAAATATGTATTCAAAGCAAAAATTACGTAAGTAACTTTATGAATGAGCGGGATTAAATCGCTTATCCACTGCCACTACTACTTCTGTATTACACACAGTATCACTTCTGTAATCTCTACACAGTTTAAAACAAAGTCGCTTCCCGCAGTCTGTACGCATAGATCTTTTAAGCTACGCAACAGATTTTAATGAAGTTTTCATGAATAGACAGAATGATTCAAGATAATTTTTTATGTTTAATACATGTACCTATATTGTATAATTCTTTTTGTCCGTGTGTAGGTGACAGATCCCACTAAACGGCTGGACCGATTTTGATGAAATTTTGTGTGTGTGATTAATTTGGTTTAGATTCACAACTGGACCCGGTAGATGGCGCTGTTATCGAGATCCTGAAATCACCCATGCGAAGCCGTGGCGGATCGCTAGTTAATTATAAAACATTTCATACAAGTTATGAATAGCTTTAGGTGTAAATGTCCTGTAGTTGATTAAAAACAAATATGTTGGAAAACATATCGAGAACTAAATCCAAAGTCTTGCCAGTATAAAGAAAAAATAAATCACATAAGAGTTGACAAATCTAACGTGATCTGTAAGCGAAAAAAGCGCTACGACCTAATCGCGAGCGCGCTGCCAAAACTGGTAGCGATAAATAAAACAATGGAGCGTCGCTCGCGAGAGTATAAAATGGCAATCGCGAAACCAATTTGTTTACGCAAATTCTGCAGCGGGGAGAGATGAATGGGCGACCATAGCGTAATACGGTCCTAGCGGGTAATGTTGTGTATGCTGTTCGCTTCTTATTTAAACCTATATCGATATGTAGTTAAAAAATCCTAGTCAAATTGATATTTTAATAAATTGTCATTGAATCCAAATAATAAGTTTTTATAAATCAAATTTTTACTTGCTATTTTCATTGTGAGTGTCTATTTATAATTTTTGTAAGAAACTAAGAATTATTTAAGGGCGCAGAAAACCGGTGACAAATTTATTGGCTTAACAAAAGATGCATTTTATTTACGCTGTTCAAAAATCTCATCTATCGCTCAGGAATTAAAGCGGTTGCTTTTGAACGAGTTTCAATCCAATTGGCCATGTGTCGATATCGAAGCGGGTGGCACTATTTGGGTGTCATCACTCTGTTTTGTATAATCGATATTTCGACTATTAAGATTTATTGGTTTACGAAATAATAAACGCCTTTAGTTCAATAATTTCATTACTATAGTTTTAATGTAGTAATATAATTTCGAGCATTAGGTACTATCGACAATTCAATTAATATTTAAAAAAGCTAATACATTTTATTGTATTTTATTTTAACTTCAATAATTATCGATTAAGAACGCTCAAATCGCTTTTCTTTCCTGTTCCAAAACCGCATAAGAATATCTAATTAAATTATACTAGAATAGAATAGGATATTATTTAATTCTCAGTAGAATAAAAGTAAAGTAAAGTTGCAGCATATTTACGTCCCACTGCTGGGCACAGGCCTCCTTTTATTTCTGAGAGGGTTTTAGGGCAAGGAATCTTAATTAATAATTTGGAAATTAGTCCACCGCGCTGCCCTAATGCGTGTTGGCGAATTTCACATGTCTTCGAAATATTATTTTTCTTATTTCTCAGACATGCAGGTCCTCACGATGTTTTCCTTCACCGCCGAGCACGTGGTAAATCAGCTTAAAATTGCAATTAACAATTTCATTGGTGCCGGCGGGGATCGAACCCGGGTTGCTCGAGTATCTGAGTATCTGAGCTACCACGGCTTAGTAGAATATTAGATAATATTTATAGAAAGTCAGTTTTTTATTTACCACCGAAGAACCAGCAAGGAAATAGCGAGATGGTTTTTCTTAATAAGAATTTTACAAAAAATTAGTCAAAATATCTATATCAATTATAATAGAACCAGCTTGGTAGCGATCACTTCATTACCAGTACCAATACCACATTCAGTACCAATATTTATTCCTGTACTTATTCCTTAATATTACAATAACCATTTTCATACAGTCGTTCTATAAAAATTTTAAACTTGTATATTGACAAATAATGAAGCATTCAGAATTACATGATTGTATAAATTCGATTAATTACAATACTTCATATTATCTATTCAAAAATGTTTACCTGTGTAAATGACTTGCAAAATTTATTTCTAAATAATTTCTTATAAAATGTAGACATCACATAAAGGGTTGCTTAAAAATAACGGCTGTTAAGGGATCCATCGTAAATCAGTTTTAAAGTAACATTATCTATTCCATTGTTTTCGTGCTCAATGTGGACAGCTTACAACAGACTACATAATATTCCTGGTGGCAGAATGTCTATTTCTATTGACAAATGGAGGAATAAATGTAAAGGAGCCGTGAAAGGAATTTTAAATTTATGGCCATATTGCAGGGGTTCATATGAATAATATTTTTTGGAATTTCGACTCAATGTTAGATTGTGTTTGCGGCTGTAAATGTATTTGATGGTATTAAGAGTTTAACTACATATCATATTTTTAAAATATATGAAAGATCTGTTTTTTTTTGTTAAATGTATGATGTTATATTAGTATTTAACTTATTTAACAAACCTATATTTAAATCGTTATAATACTAGCGGCTTAAAAGTGTTAAAATAAATTACTTTAAATATGTGAGTGTTCGTTTAATAATCAACCTGTATAAGTCTACTACTAGACATAAGGAAGGATATGATGTCATTGTCATAACGCGTGGCAGATGGTTTGGCGATAGTTTCTCACCGTCAGTTTGTTTATTTAACGTTAAATGGAATAGTAGCATCGCCGTTTATCGCAAGTCATGATAAGGTCTCTTTGGATTTTACTATAATGACTATTTACGATAACCACGGGACGAAATGGGGCGTTGGATTCTATTACAAAACCACCATATAAAAAGTGTTCATGTCTTGCGTATTAACTCCTCTCGTTTATCAATTATGTCCCAGCGCGCGCATACTTGTGAACTTTTATTTCTAAAGGTTGAGCATTTCTTTGAGCCCGGCCGACATCGATATCAATCCGACTCATCCATATCAATAAAAATCCATATCAATTTCTAATCTGTTATAATATTGTAGCAACTAGTTCATACATCTTTTATGATTTAAGGTTTTGAAATATAATCTGCATCTATTAGCTTAATAAACATTATCAAAATAGTTTGTAAATGTATTAAAGTTGATTTACTGAGACATTTTATGTACGCTTTAATTGAGCAGAATCATGTCATATTTATAATTTCTAACTATACAGCAGCGTGGGCGTTGGAAGAGCACATTTTGAGAAGCAGCCTCCCAGCAATCTGCGCAAGAGCAATTTCTTCCACTTCGTTGTGGCGCTCTACGACCGCGCCGGCCAACCCGTCGAGATCGAGCGCACTGCCTTCATCGGTTTCATAGAGAAAGATCAAGTAAGTATCGCCTTCTTCTTCATTATCACTCTGAAAAAAACCACTGCTAGATAAGGGCCTTTTCCATCGCAAAGACGATTGTCCTCAATAGTCACTCTTGGTAGACGGATTGAAGATCGCATTAGGATACCTACACAAATTTGTAATACACACTATTAAACATTAACATGTAATTTTTGAATTTGGGGAATATTTTGAAGGTTTTAAAGCTTTAAATATGGTTTTAACTAGATATAGACTAGAGTTCTTTTTAGTAGTTAGTAGTATTTACAATAACTCTCTTGTGGTAAGGAATTCATATAATATAAATGTTTAACAAAACACATTTTCTTATTCCAGCTTATTAAATTGTTAATGTATTATATTTGTCATTTAAGCATAAAAAGATTTTAATATATAATAACTAAATGTTTCAAAAGAAAATCCTCAATGAACTAATAGAATTAATGTTTAATAATTTCTTATATTTATGCTTAGAGTAGTTTTACAAATTTCTTTTCGTTCGTGTTTCAACTGATTTTTAAATAAAACTGATGAAATATGATTTTTAATAATAACTTTTTTTCACCCCATGATCATAAATGCTGCACAGCTGTCGAAACGTCTGGATTTCAAAATAATTAAAAGATTGCGATAAAATCTGTAAAATTAGCTTCATTAAACACATGAAATGTATGTCTGATATTGTTTCTTTTTATACAACGTAATTAGGATCCGCTTATCAGTAAATCCTTAAGCATCGATGTTATCGTGAATGAAGCGCTCATCAATCAGGATCGGTTAGACATGATGTCTATTGTGTACAGTAAAGGTTTACATAATTCATCGTCGCCGTGTTGGTGGCATTCCATAATTTAAAATTAAGACATATTTTGTTAATCCTTTGTTTTGCAGTTACTACTTAATAGTTAATACTAAATTGCTTTTATAGTTGGCCTTTCATTATTTTTAGTTATTTTTGATAAGATAAATTAGTCATTTAAGTACAAAATTTTACAGGTGATAAGAATATAAACAGCTTGAATAAATAACCTTGACACATATCTCGCACCTATGACACTCCTCCTATCACTGGCCTGGGTATTTTACTTGTAACATTTATTTATTTATTTACTAGAAACTAAATATACACACTAAATATAAACGGTAAATTGTGACAGTTATATATTATATACTATCACAATTGACCACAAATTTATCATGAATTTATCACAAATTTCTTTATTACATTTTTTTTAATGTATAAACGGTAAATTGTTATATAACTGTCACAATTTACCGTTTAGTGATGGTGTAAGAATATCCACTATCCCATATAGTCCCGTGGGTAACGTAAGAGGCGACAGTCACGATGAATGTCTGGTCCCATAGATGCTTCTTACGACACATACGGAACGAAATGTGGTGATAGCAAAAATCCATCAACCTTAGAGCTAGTTTAATTTACTTGAAATGTTACGAAATAATGCTCACCGTAAAGACGTGAGTTAACATACGTCACGAAAGCTTTCACTCGTTAGTAGGCGTTTTCACGTGTTATTTATTTGCAGATACTTAATTATTCAGTGTGTAAACACGGTGAACGCGTTTTTACTGAACGTGACTCACGAAAAAATAAACGATAGATATTATCTATGTTTTTTCATGAAGTATGAAATACTAAATATAAAAAAATGTATATTTAGTATTATGTAATTGTTGAGTCACTATTTTTCCATTTTAATACCGTTTCAAGAGCTTGTGTGTAATATGAATACAGAGTGATTTTTTTGCGTTTCTTGTAGGTACGACTTATGACGTAACCCATACGCTGTCCCTTGTACTACATATAGTTGATTGTTATGGTCTTACTATTGTGTCTGAAAATCGGACAGTGAAAGTGTTAATGTTCTCGTATTTTACAATGATTTCAAGTCAATGGTATTTTATAAGTTACTAGCTGGTACCCGGCGCGTTGCTGCTGCAAAATAAATAATTGAGAATATATCATTTTTAATTTGGAAAAGTTATATAGTTTCATTAGAAATGATAATGATGACGATATATAACTTTCAAATAAATTTGTCGATACGACACGAGGGCCACCTACTATAAGTTAATTATATTATGCCTATAACCTTCCTCCAAGTGCCAAAAATAAGTTAACAAAGTTTTACCGCAATTTAATGAACAAACAAACATTCATTTTTCTATATTAGATTTTTATACATTTTTTTTCTATAGGAAGCTGAGGGACAGAAGACTAATAACGGAATTCAATACAGACTTCAACTTCTATATGCTAACGGTAAGTTTTTGATATAATTATCTCTATATTTAAAAATCAATTGTTGTCCGTTAGTCTCGCTAAAACTCAAAAACGACTCGACCGATTTTGATGATATTTTTGTGTGTTTGAATGGGTCCCTAGATGGTTTAGATTCACACGTGGACCCGTTAGGTGGCGCTGTTGTCGATATCCAGAAACCACCCGTGCGAAGCCGGGGCGGATCGCTAGTTTAAATATAAATTAATTATATATATTCATTATGTACGTGGTGCAGCCTCTCTGCGGTGTATTGGCTACTAGAACAATGGGTCAGTTCGACAGGGTAAAGACCACGGTAACACAGAATAACAGTGTAAAAGCGCAGCATAATAGCTGTTTTGTATGTTAAATGACGAAAATCGGAGATTCTTTTAGTTGTAGCAAGGCATCCTATCCTAGTTTTAAAAGATTACAACGTATCTGCATAACATAAACAAACATAACATAAACACTCACGCCTATCACCCAGAGAGGTAGGCAGAGACTAAGGACTTCCATTTGGCACGATCCTGACACACCTGTCTTTCTTCCTTTATATCCATATCTACGCATACATGCTGTCGGTTAAGGGTACTCTTAATTTGGCCCTTTTACAATATATCGCCGATTTGGCCGACAAAATTTCGCGTAAGGCACGCCATTTGTACTTTGATAATCAAGCGAGTACACTTGAGGGTTATAGCATCAATTTGCCATCAGGTGAACTCTGTGGTCGTGGGTCACACTTACCTCTAATATACGTATAAACACATGCACACATTCTCACATTTCATATTATTGCAACGTTATATAGCTTCAGCTCTCTTTGTTATTACTTAAGATGTACAGGTAGGTCTATAGATTGCTCTGGAGTTAAACAAATATTACCTCTGCCGGGGCCCGCATTGTCATCCCGACCTGCTTCTATTGTCTCGTCAATGCATCGCTTAAAGCATTAAGTAAACATAATGTTAGACTAGTTCATTGAGGATAGTAACGGTCTTTAGAAATTCGGGGGAATAATTTATTATGTTTACTCCGATCTTGATACACAGATTAATAAAAAGTTTAAAAGTGATTGAAGTACTTGTATGTGCTGACATATAAATATACTGATTAATGAGTTTAGTCGATGAAAAAATCACCCGTGTTTATATAATAACAAGTTGAGGGATAATTTACAACAAAACACTAAAAAATCATGAAGTGATGTTACCGTGAACTCAATTTAACAGACTGTATTTTGCCTTAATATGGTAAAACGAGAAAAGATAAAAAAATCCATTTTCCATTTCCTTTTTAGTTGAAAATAATATAAAAAACATAATATATTTACTGCTTCATTGGACTAATAGTCACAGCGCGATCGCGACTACATTTGATCATGTAGTCCCGAGTTCAAATTCAAATTCCGGGTCGGACTAAAATCGCCCATTGGCTATTTCTGTCAAGAAACCTTATCCTGCGCAGATGGCTAGTATCCGTTAAGACTGACCGCCGTGACAGAAACTCGGTCTGGAGGACATTACTATTATATTAACATAAGTAATGTCCTTATCATTTGAACAGAATACATATTTTCAATAAGCTCGAATAAATTTACGTGGTAGAGCCATGCTGCAGCTATATTAGTAGTAGGTATAGTTGTAGCACGAATGGGTCAGCTCGACCAGTGAAGGACCACGCTCTCACAGAATACCAGCGTAAAATAGCAGCTTAACGCTGCTGTGTTTCAAATGGTGAGTGTAGAGAACCGGAGACCCTTTTTACTGGAAACGAGGCATTACATCTTAGTCCTCATGGGTGACGACGCATCTGCATTTTGATTCGTAATCGAAAATAGATGTAGATGTCTATGGGCCGCAGCAACCACTTATCATCAGGTGGACTGTGTGCTCGTTTGTCATCCTTATTCTATGAAAAAAATTTTGTCGACAAGTTATGTACTAATTAGTTATAATAAATAATACAGTAAATATAATACTAGCCGTAATAGCATAAGTGATAAAAACGTGTGATTTATTACAAAATACAGGCACACAGAACAATTCTGACCTTGCGTTATTTGCGATTTCATAGTTATTGTCTTTACCTATGGTTGAAAACAAGGCTATCGTCTTTCACCTATCGGTTATCGGATCAAATTATGCTATCAATTTTGAACCCTGTATTTATAGAAATAAGGTACTTGTGGATAACAATGTTAAATCTTGTATTAAGTGCAGGTTGGAAACAATACATCCGATAGAGGCATTGTAAAATTTGCTGTCTTACCCGTTATGTACAGAGTAATGGAAAATTTACAACAAATAGAGTAGCTCTTAGATTACCTGTTTTATAAATTCTAAAGTAATAATATTAATTGTAAAGCAATGTTACTTCAGAAAAACGAAACAATTATATCAAGCATGTATACAATTTATTCCCTTGACTTCATACATATATATAGATTCTATTCCATTAAAGAAGTAGAATATTTTTGAAGAAGTAGAACACTGTTGCATATAAGTATTTTAATTTCAAATAATGAATAACTTAGCTTTTTCTTTATTAATACTTGCAGAGAAATCCCAAAAATTCACACATATCCATGTGGATTGATAAAGAGTCCAAAATTTTGATATTCACCGTACATGAAAGCGACAGTTTCATCCAATTACGTACGAAATTAGGCGCGTTAATGCGACGGTTTTTAATTTTCCCGCCGCACCATGTCTATTATTTTAATTCTTGTCGCGTGGAAGGCAAAAAAGAGGAGAGAGCGAGTGTGGAGGCAATTTCAGAACGTTAACAAATTGTGCAGTCCGCCTCTACACAGCTACGCCGGGCTACGCTCGTAGTCAGCGTGCTACGATCTTAATTGCTACTATGTGTAAACGTTACTGCTTAAGGCCGTAACAGACGAAGCGTATTTCCATTGTAAAATATAAGCTTCATTCTTGAGACCAATGTGTATAACTGCTTTTTGCGTATTGTAAGCAAGTGAAGTTAAAAACATTAAACCCTTCATTTCAATAAATGTGATTTTTGTTTTGACTAATTTCAATCACGATGATATCTATGTCAAAGTGTACACGCAAACATAGACTATCACTATTACACTGCTCCCTAATATTTCTGTCATTTGCTAATCCACGATATACACCCACTAATGTGCTTCGTTTTGAAAAATAAGAGAACTAATAATTACCGGCTGGCATTGGCATTTGAACTTATTTCCCAAAGGAATTCTACGCATCTGTAGTGTTTCTCGTCTGAAGTTGTGGATCTCAGTGGGTTGCTTACTAGCAAGTAGATTGTTAGCTCGTTTGTCATGCTAATATTATAAAAAAACTATACACTTGCTCTATGTTACACTTTTGGAATAGTAGAACACATTATCAGAGACACGGGAACAATCATAACACATTAAGGATTCGAAAACTCACAATTTAAATTTTTCAGAAATGGTGGCCCATATTAAGATCACGACAATCTAAATCAAATATCGCAATATACACAATATTTATAATTGTGTATATTTTAAACTTATTTTACAGAATATCTATTGATGTCCTTATGCATATTTTAACATTATTTGGTAAATTAATCTTTTTTAAGTAATTTGTATAATAAAATAATAATTCTTTTCTCAGGTATACGGCAAGAACAAGACATTTTCGTTCGGCTTATTGACTCAGTTACAAAACAGGTAAGTAAAGTGTGACTACTCAACCAAACACTGTTCCTTAACTCCCTAGTTGTGTAGTTAGGGATTATTGTGTAATTAGCTATTGACTTTGTAATATTTCTATACTTTCCTTTAATAGATGGGTTAACATATATAGCATATAGCATCAGCTTAATGGTGTACCCGCCGTGCTGCATACCCGCCCTTTAGTTTTTACACTTAGGCTTATAATTCGGGTTAGATTCACTTAGTAATCTAACCACAATGCTAAATACACATTAGTATTTGATTTGAAGCAGGATACATTTTTAGAGTTATTTATACTATACTCCTGTCTGTAAATAAATTCTAGAAATTCTTGTGTTCGTCACTTTGGGATCACTTTTCTGCCTTTAAAAAGAATATAGAACAATGTAAACTAAAATTAGTAAATAACAAATAAAAGGCAATATTGAAGTATTTCCCAATACTTTGGGTAGTAGCAACGAAAAAGCATCCGATGCAGTATAATGCTGTATATATGTGAAAGTGTTTGCATATTTTTCCTTATAGATAAACATAACTTAGTTAACCAAAATAATCAAATCAATTTCAAATTCATTCTTAGTGATGTCCATTTCTTTAATCCATCGGTTTTAGTTGCTTCCACGTTACACACATTACTAAGTGAGTAGTTTGCTACGTCCCTCCTGCCGTCCGCGGGCAGTCCACGTGTCGAACGCGCTTCTGCCACGTGCCCATATAGCAGATTTTCATCGCCGTCGTCCGATTAGACCCCTAATCCGCACGCCCTCCGATCTACGAAATTGCCTTGCGTTTGAGAACAATCATTAACATTATCTCGTGTTACTATTTTATTTCACTACACTTTTACAATTCCAACGGTTTTGAAGCGGGTGCGAATGGGTGTCGAGTTCGTCTTTTGTGACTGAATCGCCGCGTCACGAATGTTTAAGTTTGATTGGCAGACGAAAGGGTTGCTGTAAACAATGACTGTGTATTTATGTTTCTGTAGATAAGATCACTAATGATTTTGAAATATCATATTTCACTCTAAGTAAATTATGAAGTTTGTTTATCCCAAAGAAACATTCTAACAGTGGTAGAGCCACGCGGTAGCTTTTGCTGTCGCACGGATGGGTCGGCTTGAACAGGGGTGGTACCACAACCTCACAGAATAGCAGCGTGAAGTAGGGGTTTACCTCTGCGGTTCACTTGGTGAGTGCAGGTGGCCGGAGGCCCTTTTTACTGGAAATGAGGCATTCCATCTTAGTCCTTACGGGTGACAACGCATCTACATTTTGATTTGTAATAGAGGATAGATGTAGATGGGCTCCAGCAACCACTTACCATCAGGTGGACTGTGTGCTCGTTTGTCACCCTTATCCTATAAAAAAATCTCTCAATATAACAAAAGAAAAGTCCCTCATAAAACTAAAGTTGAACTTTAATTTTAATCACTACTTTTCTAGCCTAATTTTTAATCTTTGTGAATACCGTGTAGTGGCGGTATAAGAAAACTCATCACTCTATTTCGTCCCGCGTTTGCCTTAAGAAAACTTTGGAAAAATCAACATAACTTTGAAAAATATCGGAAAAATCTAAAGTTTTCCAATAGATGGCGTTAAAACAATTTCGTCTATACCAGATATAAAATTCCAGACCGTGGACGAAGAGCAGCGTCATAAGTGGGAGACGTTTGGTATTGCGGTCGTCATCCTGCCAAGCGTAACAATTAGGCAAATCCTTCTTACAACGGGTGAGAACCCCATTCAGCAGTAGACTTTTAAGGGCTGATAAAGAAGAAAAATAAGTGAATGATTTAGTCCATTGATATCGTAATAAACAATCAAAATTCAGATGCGCTGTCTCTCCTCAGAATGCGCTTCTACTAAAACGCCTTTTAATATTAAAAATAATTCACCCCCTCTTCATAAATTTAATTACCATGTTTAATAAAACTAGCTTTAACGGATTTTATCGTGTATATTAACTTATTAAACGTCGTCGTAATTTTAAACGTCGGGAATATAAAATAAATTAATATACGCGATAAAATACGTAAAAGCTAGTTTTATTTAAATGTGTAGTGTGTGTAGTGTTTGCGTAAATATAAGAAATCATTAATTGTATATAATATGTCTTAATTAATTAATGTGGTACTGAAGAAAACCATGAACCAATATATTAATTGTATATAATTTCCACGTATTTCCAAGTAATTACTTGGTAGCTATATAATTACACAACGCCTAAATGTCTTTAGAAAAATCTCACGAACTGTGAGAAAAATATCCTGTGACATAAATATACAGAATATTCATATAAAGAAATATCAGACCAAGAATACTCAGATAGAAGGAAAACAGGAGGTAACGTTTAGAGTTTCCAACCTAGAATCATACCAATGTGAAAAAGGTGTTAAGCCTAATTTTAAAGTTCTTCTAATGATGTCATATATTTAACTAAAAAAAATTAAATTGAATAAAACTACTTTAAAGGTATTTTAATCTCGTTTAAATTACAAACAGCTGTCAAAAACTGTTTATTACGGCGAATGGTGATTATTATTTAAAATTAAAGTTTATCTAATTATTTTTTATATCTATGAGTGCTTGTAGTATGGAATAAAAATATCAGGAATATAAATTAAATTAAAAAAACGAGATTAAAATACCTTAAGACTAGTTTCATTCAATGTGTAGTATTCACGTTAACATATGACATCATTAGAACAACTTTAATATTATAAGTAAAATATATATATATACGGAACTTTCACGTGTTAAAATAAGTTTACTTTATTGCAATTATAAAGCTGTATACGATCATACAGCAAAATGATAGTCTTAAGCGTACAATGATAATCAGTTAGCAATGCGTAGAACGGTGCTACTTAAACAAAGGGTACAATGGAGGCCCGGCCGAACGCGGCGCCTTGCAATTATCACGCTCGCTTTTATTACATAAATAACAATTTTAGCACACGAAGCCATCATGAAACTTCACCGTGTGCCTCACATATATAATTTCAACACGTCCCGAGCTCTTAGTGTTGTGTAACAAGAGGCCAATTACGAAAGATTTATGCCGAGAACATAATTAACTCGGGCCGAACGTTGTTAACTAAGAATTACAGAATTGTGTACGTTTGTACGGGGTAGGTGCAGCGGGTTCGTAGCCGTCTGTTTTACTACAATACTCACAATTGTAGTAAGCTAAATATAATGATAATACATCGGCAGCGGAAGAATTACTTTTAATTACATACGTTATAGATCAAATGATTGATCAGGGCACTATTTATTACCCACGAAATATGAATAATGACAAGTCAAATCGGGATATTTAATTTCATTATTTATGATGTAAACTTCATTATTTATCACATTGTTTGGTCGTTGTGAATATTTCTGAGTAACTGTTAGGCAATTTGATATAACCTAACCAAAATTACCCATGTTAATCACTTTTAAGACAATAAGTTAAAAATGTATCAAATCTGAAATTAATAAGTGTAAAAATGTTAAGGAATGGAAAACTATTTTGCAGTATTATAAAATAGCAGCAGTAGGTATGCCTTTGCGTTACAAAATAAAAATACCTTTGATGAAAGACTTTATTCCTATTTTGTATTAAGTGTTAAATATATGACATCAAAAAGAACCTAATCTTACCTAACCTACCCTTTTATTACTCTACCCAATAAGTAACGGACTTTATTCATAAAGCCTTTAAAGTTTTTTTCACTTTGCCTATTTATATTGGGCATTATTAATATTGCCCGGGCATTATGAATAATGCCCTATTAAATATTTGGTCTATAACAAACACACACTGATCAAAATACAACGTCTTTGGATTATTATATACCGTAGTATTACTATATCAGTTTATATTAATGTATGTATGTATGTTTTATAAATTTAGTAAGTCAATATTTGTAACCCATTTTGTCTGCAATCTCTCTCGCTTGATATTTCCACACGAAAGGAAGGAATAGACAACTGAAGTGTCTGCCAAAAAAATTTATAAGTAAATAAAATAAATCATATCCGTTACATAATCTCTGTCGAATTTCAAAGTTGCAGAACTTAAAGTGTGATCTTCTAGATATATAAAAACTCCAACGACGAACTTTTATATATCTAGAAGATTTAATACTTTATGACTAAGTTTAATTTATAGGAAAAATTTAAACATTTTTTTTTGATTTTGTGGAGACAAATTTTATGAATACAATTAAAATTATTTAATGACGCATAAATGTTATAAATTTAAATAATGTTCATTAAATATTATTAATCATCTAGTGTTACAGTTTAACGACTATTTTCTAATATAAATTTTGTCAAACAATTAATACACTAATGAAATCCATCATTTCAATGGTTACACACGGCGAGAGGAGATTGACACGCAAAACAGTCGTTCACTAAAAATTGCGGGAAGATGGCGTCCAGATAATAATGAGTTGCGGTCAGTTTAATTGTATTAAAACGTTAGGTTAGGGCACACGACCAATCAGCTAATGCTGTGTAGTGCATGCGAGCTGGACACGCAAGCCTATGTTACGACAAGACTTTTTGGTGTTTTTGAAACGTTCTAAGGCGCAAAAATACCTAGAAAATCTAAAATTAGAAAGTGTCTCTCTACATAATGTGTAGGTGATATTATATATTCATTTAAAATATAACGCGCAATGGAACGTGACGTCAGTAAATATATCATTTCATATTCATTTTATATTTAGGTATACCTTATTACCTGAAATCAAGATAGTACATCCAGTACATTTTGTCAATGATGACATATAGATCTGAGAGGTGATCCTTCACTGCTGGCTGTATGAGGAAGCTAAAGGACGTCCAGCAATAGAAGAAAGCTATGCTCGGGATTTCTCTACGTGATAGACTTAATTTTTTTATAGTAATAGGGTGACAAACGAGCACACAGTCCACCCGATAGTGTGTGGATACTGTGACTCATACGCATCTACATCTATGCTCAATTAAGAATCA